TAATGAACATATCCACCACCCCTAAACATTTCCTAATGCACTTTGTAATTTCTTCTACCCCATGTCTTGATCCCCAAGTTACTGACCAGCTTTGTTAATATAGTTTGCACCTTGAAGCAGCTTCATCATACAGTTTGTATGTGTTTTTGCTTGGCTTCTTTCCCTCAGCATTGGTGGTTTCTTTTTCAGATTCACTAATGGCACCATGTGAATGGCAGCTCTCTTCTTTGCATTGCTGTGTAATATTCCATTGCTTGTATACAGCCCTGTTGGTTTATCCCTTCACCAGCTGAAGATGGTGTGGGCTGTTGCTTCTTGGGGATATCATGAATAAAGCTGCATGAGCACTCATGCGCAAGTCCTGTGTGTGGACGTGAGCCTTCGTCTCTTGGCTACATACCTGGGGTGCAGTGGCTGAATCAGCTGGTGGGCGTATGTTTAGCATTTTGAGAAACGTGCAGTCTTATCTAAAGTTGTGTTCCATTTTACATCATGCTAGTAGTGTGGGCAAACTCATTTCTTTACACTTCATCAGTCGTAGTATGTTTAGTCTTTTCAATTTTAGCCATCAAGAGGTGTAGAATTATATCTTATCACAGTTTGAATTTGCAGTTCCCTAATGACTGACTCTGTTGAATATGATTTTAAAAAAGTGTTTATTTGCCATCTGTAGGTCTTTGGTAATGTGTGTTCAGAGCTCCTGACTGTTTTTAATGCAGTGAGTTCTGGGTTTTCCCCTCAAGCACTGAGGATCGAACCCAGGACCTTGTGCATATGGAGCAACTGCCCTACCACTGAGACATACCCCTTGCTGGTGGTTTGTGTTCTAACTAAATGGGATAGAAGTCTTTTATTGGCTGTGTAATTTGTAAATATTTTCCCTCGATCTGTGGTTTATCTTTTCACTTTTGAGTATCTTTTGAAGCTGGGTGTGGTGGCGCCTGCCTGTAATTAGAGTACTTGGAAGGCTGAGGCTAGAGGATCGTGAGTTCAAGGCCAACCTGGGTTACATCGTGAGGACTTGTGTAAAAAAAACTTTCAAAATGCAGAAGTTTTTTCATTTTTAATGAAGTCAAATTTACTAATATTTCCATTATGAATTGTACATTGGGGATTGCAGTTAAGAAATCTTCACCTGCTGGGTGTGGTAGTGAATGCCTGTAATCCCAGCACTCATGAGGCTGAGGCAGGAGGATTGCCGCAAGTTTGGGGCCAACCTGGGTTGTACAGTGAGTTCAAAGCCAGCTTGAACTACATGGTGAGACCCTGTCTCAAAAAAATGAAAGAAGGAAAGAAAGAAGGTAAGAAAGAAAGAAAGAAAGAAAAGAAAAAAAGAAAAGAAAGAAAGAAAAAGAAAAAGAGAAAAGAAAGCAATCTTCGCCTAACACAAGGCCACAAAGATTTTCTTCTAGTTTACTTCTAGAAAATAGTTTCAGTTTTTACATGGAGAGCCATGATCAGCTTTGAGTTGTGTCATTACCGTTTCCAATGGGCTTAACATTCCCATTGGGCATCTTTTTCCTCCCCTGTCCTTTCTTCCTGAGGAATTTCCTTTATCTTTTTTTGTAATGTGGCTCTGCTGATGACAAATTATTTCAACTTTATATGTCTCAAGATGTGTGCATGAATGGATGGGTGGCTGACTTATTGGTGGTGCTGGGGATGGGGTCCAGGGCCTCTCTGCTGCTAGGCAAACTCTGAACCACTGCGTTACAGCCCTCACCCCTCGCTTTCATTTGTGGCAGATGTTTTCACAGAGCATAGACAATATCTTTTTTTCTTCAGTACTTCAAAGACATTTCTTCATTGTTGTCTCACATTGTTTCTAACTAAAATCTGTCAGAGTGTTTATCTTTGCTCCTCTGAATGTGAAGTGTCTTTTTCCCCCTCTGGGTTTAGAATTTTTCTCTTTCATATTGATTTTCAGAAATTTGGTTATTATAACTATACCTTACTATGGTTTTGTTATGTTTCAGGGTTGATTGAACTTCTTGGGTCTGTTTACACTTTTTATCAAGTCTGAAGGGTTTTCAGCTTTGAACATGTACTTTTTCTATTCTTCCTGGTCTGTCTCAGTTTTGAGATTCTGAGTACACACATATGGGACTGCCCGATGTTTCCCACAGTTCAGTGATTGTCTCTTATTTTTGAGTGTATCTTCACCCCATGTTTTACTTTGGTTGCTGTGTCTTTGTGTTTACTAAACTTTTTTTTTAAAATGTGGCATCTAATCTGTTTTTAATCACACACCTAGTGCATTTTAAATTCCAAATATTGTTTCATTTCAGGAAATTCAATTTAGGCCTTTTAACCATATCTCCCACATTGCTATTCAATGTGTTCAGTACTTCCTCTAGTTGTCTGAACATGTAGAATATAGTTGTAACTCTTTGAATATTCTTTTCTGCTAATTCTGACATCTGGATCTACTCTGGGTGGACTTTAATTGATGATTTTTCCTCTTAGAATGGATTGTGGTTTTCTGTTCTTTGTATGTCTAGTAATTTTTGGTAGGATGCCAGATATTATAAATTTTACTTTGATGAGCTCTGGATATTTTTGTGAAATTCTTGAGCTTTGTTCCGGGATGCAGTTAATTCCTTGGAACAGTGTGATCCTTTCAGGGCTTGTTTTTAAGGTTTGTTAGATGGGCCCAGAACTGTCTTTAATTTAGAGTTAATTATTCATCATTATTGATGCAGGCAAGACACTTCGGTGCATCTACCACATATCCCGTGAATTGTAATGTTTTCTGATCTGGCTGTCAGGAAAAGGTGCTATTCCTATGCCTGTGATGTGCCAGGTGCTTTCACCTTTACAGCCAGTTCTTTGCATACGTGCTCTGACCAGCGCTCCACGGAATGCTCAAGAAAAACCCTTTGCAGATCCCTGGAGGTTCTGTCTCTGTCTTTTTCTGACTTCCTGGTATTTCAGCTTCATGTCTTTAGCTCAGAGAATCCATCAAGTTCCCCTAGGTTCATTTAAAAAAAAACTTACCTCTAATTGGAATCATTTTTTTTTCTTTTCTTTTCTTTTCTTTTCTTTTCTTTTCTTCTTTCTTTTCTTTTTTTCTTTTCTTTTCTCTGTCTTGCCTTTCCCTGTTCCCTTTTCCTTTCCCTTCCCTTTCCTTCCTTTCCTCCTCCCTCCCTTTCTTCCTCCCTCCCTTCCTTCTTTCCTTCCTTCCTTCCTTCCTTCCTTCCTTCCTTCCTTCCTTCCTTTTCTCTCCCTCCTTCTCTTTTGCATTGTTGGGGATTGAACTCTGAGCCTTTGCACTGAGCTACATTCCCAGCCTTTTTAAGTATTTTTTTCATCTTAAGACAAGTCTCACTAAGTTTCCAAGTTGCCCAGGCTGGGCTCCAACCTGCTGTCTTCCTGCCTGAGTCCCCCAGGGTGCTGGCCTTACCGGCGTGTACCACTACTCCAGCTAGTGATCATTTTTTTTTTGTTGCCAGATATCCACTGCCTTACAAATGATAGTTTCACATATTTCCTCTGTCTTTATTTTTGCAATTTTGTGTTATGAATGAGGGTAAGCACAGTCCTTGTTCTCCATCTTGGTTGGAAGCAGAAGTTCTCAGATTCTTTCTGTCTTTAGTGAGGCCTTTCTTTGATGCAAGGAGTCCAGGAGTCCTGGGGAGGGTTATCCCTTACACTCAGCCTCAGTCGGAGGGTTTTCTCCGTGTCTTTCCTTTGCCAAGTCTGGCAGCAGGGATTTGGCAGCTTTGCAAAGGTAGGAGATGGACAGTCCAGTCCTTCCTGTGGGAGGAGGAAGTGTGGATGCTGCCCTTAGCTTAGCCTTAACAGGGTCAGGAAAAGCAGATACAGATTGTGTGCTTTTTTTTTTTTTTTTTTTTTTTTTTTTGGTTTTTTTTAGACAGGGTCTCGCTATGCAGTTCAGGCTGGCTTTGAGCTCACTTTGTAGCCCAGGCTGGTCTTGAATTCACAACAGTCCTCCTGCCTCAGCCTCCCGAGTGCTGGGATTACAGGTGTGTGCCACCACACCTGGCCAGAAGGGGTCTTTAAAACAGTTTTCTAAATTCTCTTATAAGGTCTAGGTTCCTTTTGGCCCTGGCTTTTTTATTCAGTTCTTGCCAATGAGCAACTCTCGAGTGGGAGGTCCAGTCCGGAGTAAGGCGATGGGCTGAGGACGAGGTGACACAGAATGGTGTGCCTCACAGTGGAGCCGGTTAGAGGACATTTTGTAGAGGAATTTGAAAACCAGAAATTCTTGCCAGAATGAAATCCTGCTCTCGTTAGCAATCATAACATAGCATCTTTGTGAGATCGTGTGTAAAGCAAAAACCGAAGCCTTCTGAACAGCCAACTAGATCTCAAACATTCATCTGCTGTGTCATCTTTTAAAGCCTCTAAAGACCGCTTATACTAACTGGACTTCCGGTTGGTGGATTGAGAACGGTCACTGTTATCTAAATGGTCATTTTCTGTGGCAGACAGCAAGCCCCTTGTTGGCGTCCCCTCTCCGTATACCTCCAGGCAAATGCATCCCAAAGGTGAGAGTTTTCTTGCTACCAGGATCTATTACTGAGCAGAGCAGAGGTGGGCCTGAGGCACTGCAGCCCGGGGCTGGCGGCTCTGCACCCACTGTGAGCAGGGTGATGGAACCTGGTAGGAGGAGTCAGGCTTTGGAGCTGGAGCCCTTGAAGGTTTGCGTCAGAATGCAGCGGGCCGGAAGCCACAGGGTGAACACAGCAGACTTTGAAACATCAGTTTTACCTTAGTAAAAATTTTAAGGCACTGTGTAAAAGCATCTATTATGGTATGAAGTGAACATTTTGCTAACCTTTTAAACACTTTTCAATTTTCTTAGTCTGTGTTTGCAGTCCCTAATGATAACATTCCTTGCGGGGAGCAGGGCCATGTACATACACATCTTCACTCCCTCTCCTCCCTCTCCTCCCTCATCCCTCCCTCCATCTCTTGATCCCCAAAATATAAAGCACAAAATAAAAGACAGATAACAGGAAATAGGGAGACAGGTCTTTTGCAAAAGAAAGTTGTGCTCATCTTTAAGATGAAATGTTTAGACTTGGAGGAAATGCTGAGCCTTGGGTTCCTTAGCTCATGGGTGCTGGGTGCTGGGAGAGGCTCTGTCCCTTCTCAGGCGTGGACACAGATGCTTGAGTGGGAAGAGAGGGAAATCGTGTGGTGGTCATAGTGGCCCTGGGAGGGAAGGAGAGAGGGATGACTTATGGATGGCTGCAGCTGTGCAGGGCACTCAGGGAGAGGTGTTGCTAGGACGTGTCCACACACACGCACACACACACACACACACACACACACACACACACACACACACCTCAGGAGCTTCTGAAGTGGAGCCGGGACTGGGCACTCACTTGTCCATCCATCTACCCAGCTGTCCCCAGGTAGAGGGGAAGTTGCCTTGTGAAAGATGGAAGTCATACACACACCTGGCTCTAAAGCAAAAATAAAACAAAAGCTTATAGGAAGGAAACACATAGTCAGGCTTGGTGGTGCATGCTGATAATCCCAGCACTCTGGGAGGCTGAGGCAGGATGATCGCAAATTCAAGCCCAGCCCAGGCAACTTAGCAATTTAGCAAGACTCTATCCCAAAATAAAAATATAAAAAAGGGGGTAGGGATGTAACTCAGTGTGAAGGCCCTGGGTTCAATCCCCAGTACATGGAAGGAGGGAAGAGCAAGGAAGACGGAAGGGGGCTGCTCCACAGACAAAGCAGCCTGATGGGGTCTCATCCCACTGGCCACACATCCTGCTTCCTTAGCTCAGGGAGAGCAGTGGTTTGCTCTTTTGGTTAACTGCTTTCTTTCCCCTTTTAATCTCCCAAATTTCAGCTGCCTATTTGCTTTTCACTGGGGTGCTTCAAAATCCTGCCATTTTCCCTGTCTCACATCCAACCATCCATCCATCCATCCATCCATCCATCCATCCATCCATCCATCCATCCATCCAACCATTCAGCCAGACATACAACAAAGCATCTCCCATTCAGATATCCATCCAGGGATCCATCCCTCCATCCAGGCATCCATCCTTCTGTCCATCTGTCCATCCATCTATCCATCCATCCATCCATCCATCCATCCATTTTATAAGCATTTATTAAATGTCTCCTATCAAAGGTAGTAATAGATGATGTAGATGACAATGAACAAGAAATAGCCTATTCTCAAGGAATTCAGTGTTCCAGTGCAGGAGTTCCTCAAATTCTTCCTGCCCCAGCATATACAGTTAAAAATGTTTGCTCAGTCTCTTGGGCAGTGTCAGATGCTGTCCCAAGTGTGCACATGTAGTGACTCATTCGATCGTCAGGACAGCACTCTGAACTCAGGCGCCACCATCGCCTCACTGCACAGCGGAGGAGCGGGGCGGGGGGGGGTGGTCCTGGGCTGAGCCTTGCTGCCGGGTGAGACAGATGCGTTTATAAAAGCCCTGACACAAGGGTGAGCAGGACACAGGCTCAGTGGGCAATTCCTTCCAAGGAAGTGGAACCCTGATTCCAGACACAAGACTGACGGAGCGTGGGGACCCTGGCATGAACATTTCTTCCCTTTCCTGCTGATTGTCACAGCATCACAGAATCTGACCAGTTTTGAACAACTTCTGTGAGGACACATTGCTGATCTCGCGGTAGCCTCTGTCTCTGGCACCATGAGTGGCAGGGAATGTTATGTGGCTGAACTTACCACCTGATAATTTCTGAAAAGCAGCCCTAGTGCTGCTCCCACCTTACTGACATACAACTGGCAGATAAAAAGGATCGGGGGTGTAAGCCAGTACAACCACTAGCACTGCACACAACATGCGATTTTGCTTAGTTCTGTTCTTAGGACAGCATTGCCCGATCCTCTGTGTGTAGGATGTTAGAGGCATGTAGGGGAAGTTGAAGGGATCATGGATCGATGAGTTTGGCCAATAAACTTTAACAAAAGGTTCCTGAAGGGTTTTCTCATAATCTTTTGTATGCTAATGTTTGGGGAATCTTCAGCAGTTTCCAAATGTACTTACCCATTCAACCCCCCCAAACACCCCCACCCATGATGATCCTCCTGCCTCAGCCTCCTAATGCTGGGATTTCAGGCATGTGCCTGGCTTCCTCTCAAGTCTTGTTAGCTGCATCTTAAATGTCCATTTGGAAACTGCTGAGAAGGGAGGTCCCGTGTGCAGTTAGAAGAGCCTGCTCCTCCTGCCGCTCGACTTTTCAGATGCTTTTTCCTGGGCCCAAGGATGGGCCTCACCACCAAGTATTCCTGCACTGTTCCTTCTCACCTTCTTCATGCTGCGTTTCACCTTCCTCCCTGGTGCCCTTCCCTGTGCTCTCCTACCTCCTGGGCTTCAGAACCAACAGCAGCACCAGCTGTTTTTTGGTTTTGAGACCAGGTCTTGCTAAGTTGCCTGGCTGGCTTTCAGCTTGCAACCCTCCTGCTTCAGCCTCCTGAGTAGCTGGAATTACAGACACCCTCCACCATACCCGGGAATAAACACACATTTGAGAGCCTGTTATGTGCAAGGCACTGCAGAGGGCGGGAAAGATAGGCACGTGGGACTTTCACTGGAGGAGCTGATCACTGAGCAAGGGACGTGCTCACAGAAACGGTCAGAATTACAAGACGTCACCAGGTGCTGAACAGTGCAGTCAATGGGGCTACTGGAGCTAAGGTTAACCTGTTGCTCGATGTTTGATTCCGGACTTTCCCGTGCACATGCGGAGGACCCACTGGCCCTCGCCCCCGCCTTGCTCGGGTACTCTCTGTGCTCCCAGCAGCTTGGCAGGGAAGTGGAGTTTGATTGCAGGATGCTTTTCCCAGTGGTGTTTTATAAAATTAGAAATGTGTTTACTGGAAGGAGGCAGTGTTTACTCAAGCCAGAAGTCACGGCCTGTCCTGGAGCCACGATCTGCAGAAGTCAAGTGCTTCGCTGCCAGCACAAGGAGGGAAGAGTGTTAGGGTATGAGTACTGTCCAGAATGGGCTAAGGAGCACGAATGCTCTGTTCTCAGGGCCGCTGTCCTACTTGCAGCGGGGCATGTGGCCGCAGAGGGCACAAGCGTGGCAGGGAGGGCATCTCATTCTGTCCCTGTTTCTCCCTTGTTGGACGAGTGCCGCTGGCTGAGGACTTAACTTCTGTCTGCCTTGTTTTTTTTTTTTCTCTTTCTCTTTCTAAGGTGGGGACCTGAGGTAGTGCTTGTGTCATAGCTTGGCATAAATGTTTCATATCTGAAACACTTAGAACATTTTGAGTTTCTCTTTGTTATTTGTTCATTGCTGTGCAACAAAATACCCCAACACTTAGTGGTTTACAAGGAGAAACATAATTTTTGCTGGGTGTGCTGGCACATATGTGTAACTCCAGCACTCAGGAAGCTGAGGCAGGAAAATCACAGGGAGTTCGAAGCCAACTTGGGCTGCATAGTGAGATCAAGGCCAGTCTGGACTACCAAACAAGAACCTCTGTCCAAAAAAAAAAAAAAATCATCATTTATGATCTCTCCTTTTGGAGGGTCTAGAATTTAGAAGCAGCTTAGCTGGGTGATGAGGAGTCAGGATTTCTCATGAAATTGTGCTCAGATGTGTGTGGACTTCCCTGGAGGCTTCACTGCTACTTGTTTGTGGCTCTCTTGTGCAGTGTGGGTGAGGACTCCGCCAGGGCACGGTCTGGGGGAGGTAGCTCTCTGTGGGGTCATGCGGGGCTGGCTACACCCCCCCCAAGGAAGCGCTGTGTCCTCTGTGTGACTGGTGTTAGTAAGGACTTTTGAACAGTATGAATGCCTGGGTCCACACAGATCTCAGCAGAGTTTTCTGGAAAGAGAGTGGACAGCGTGACTCTTGCTGTGAGTCACACACCAGCCCTTGTGGCCTGGGCTTTTCAGAGGAGAGAACTGAACCTAGCTCAAGGGCTCAGGGAGGCAGGGAAGAAGAAGAAGCCAGCTGGAGGGTGCGGAATGCATGCTGCTGCTCCTGTGGACTTGGTTCCTCAGAAGCTTCTAGGAAAGGGACAGAATGATCCCAGCTTTGTCTTCCTAAATGGTGGCTCGTTTAGCCACTAGTTGAGGTCCCCTGGGGGTCACCATCCATGGCTCTTGCTGGAGGAAGGGCACAGTCCACATGGTAGGCTGAATCACACAGCTAGGTGGGGTCAGGGGAGCTAGGGACACAGAGGCTCAGGCTGCCTAGGTTGGTAGGAGCTGGGGATGCTGGCCTCAAGCAGATGCAGGGTTAGATGTGGGAGAGATGCAGAGGAGAGGCTCTGAGGCAGAGGGGAAGGAGCTGCAGGAGGCTAAGAGACCGTGGCCAGGAATGCAGCCCTGTCCTGGGGAGGGGAAGGGTGGGGAGGGCTCTGTGTCCCAGCCTGTGGGAAGCCTGGCTACAGCACCCATGGGGCAGATAGGCCACAGCACCTCAGCCCAGCCACCAGGGCCAGAGAGGCTCCTTGCTGGGGGCAGCGCAGGGGCTGCCTCAGATGTGCATTTGGGGGAACCAGAGGTCATTCATCCTGAGGTCCCAAGCCATCTCCTTCCTCCTTTGATCTGCCTCGTTGCCTGAAATTCCCCCATGACAGAGCGATTGCTTTGTTTAAGCACTGCCCTCTCTTCCTTCCCGGTCAACTTTAGGAGAAGGAACATCTTGAGTCACTAACACTTTAGTATGAGGCAGGATTCCAAATTCTTTTATTCTGTAACAGACAGAAGAGATCCGGAACATCATGAGGGAGGACCAGGGGCTGGACGTTATTTCCAGCTCACCTTGCTGGAAATGAACAAAGCCCACAATCAGCCTCTGCCGTGAAACAGCAGCGAGGGTGCTTCGCAGGAAGGGTCTGCTCAGTGCCACTTTGCCTCTCACGTGGATTTTTTGAAGGACAGTGTATTTTCATGGGTGGTTTAGAACCGAAGTAAATTTTGTCCAGGTGGCTGGAATATTTGGGTGGGGGAATGGAGATAAGAGATCCCAAGACTGATCAGAGGGTGATCCACGAGCCACCAGCATCAGGACCCCAGGAGCTTAGCCATATAAATTTCCTGTGCTCCCTGCCCAACCTAAGTTCCCCCAGCACCCTCTGCCTGACTCAGAACCTCCAGGGATGAAGCCCAGCACTCAGTACTTTTATAAGCATTTCTGGTGATTTTGTGCAAACTGAAGTTTAAGAACCACAGATTCAAGGCTAACTGCACCTGGAAAAGACATAAAGATCATTGCTAGGAAAATTTAGCTTCTAACATAAGATCAAGACGTTCCTTAAAGAAGGATCAAGCTGAGTCATGTGTAGGGAAGCGGATGCACCTTGAGACCGTAATGTTAAGTGAAATGAATCAGACACACGGGCTTAAATATCGTGTAGTTTCTCTTACAGGAGAGACCTGAAGAATAAATAAAGGACAAGATAAAAGATGGGTGATAGGAAACAGGGAGACAGACCTTTTGCAAATGGGAAAAGGGAATGGGATGGAGGGAGGGAGGGAAGGACGGAGGGAGAGAGGGAAAGGAGACACAAAAAGAACTGATGTGTTATGTACACGTACCAAGTTCCCATGAGGAACGTCATCATTATGTCCCACAAAAGTGGGCCAGTAGTAGGGGTTGAAGGGAGGGGAGAGGAATAGGATAAAAAAAGAATCATTTTATCATGTACAGGTGCAAATTCTCTATGATGAACATGATCATTATGTGTATCTAAAAGGTACCAAGAAAATTTGATTGAAAGAAAAGATGGATTAATAAAAATTTTAAAAATTACTTTTAAAAAAGATTTTAAGATGTGGTGGCACACACCTGTAGTCTCAGAATTTGGGAGGCTGAGGCAGGAGGATGGCTGCAAGTTTGAGACCAGTCTGGGCTACAAAGTGAGCTCCAGGCCAACTTGAACTGCATAGTGAGACCCTGTCTCAAAAAGACAAAAAAAAGATTCCAGAGGAAAGAGCAGAAATAAGTTAAGATTCACAGTAGGACTTTTGGACTATGTAATTGAAGTGCATTAGAAATAAAAATGACTGATATTGGAAATAAATTAATGGACACACAGATCTCTCTGTCTCTGTCTCTGTCTCTCTCTCTCTCTCTCTCTCTCTCTCTCACACACACACACACACACACACACACACACACACACACGTTCCCATAGCTTCTCTCCAGAATTCCAGACACCAGCTGCCTCTAACTCCCAGGGACGCCTGTGGTAGCTCAGGCTCAGCCTGGCCATGGCCACGTGGCTGCTCAGTTGCATGGCCCCGCCGAGAGGAGGTGGATCCAGCCCCAGACCGCTCACCTTCCCACTGGCTGCTCGTCCTGCCTCACATGCGTGAGTAGCTTGAATGCCACCTTCTGGTGAGTCCGCCGTAACCAGCCTATGTAAGACTGCAGCCCTTCGCATTCTGCATCCCTTTCCTTGCCTTGACTTCCTTTTTGTAGCACTCCGTGTACTCCGATTCGCTCCCTAGCTCACTAGCTTATTTATTCATATATTGTGTTTCTCTCCTCTCTCTTTCCAGCTGCAGGGAAGCTCTCCACAGGCAGGGAGTTTTCTGTGTTCAGTCACGGCTGGATCCCAGGACCTGGAACGATGGCCAGCACATGGGAGAACCTCAACAATGTGTGCTAAACGAGTGACAATGACATGCCGCATTTTACAAACTGCTTCCACGTCCAGATCGACGGCTGCTGGTGGAGACCATCAGTAGAAGCATGCAAATCATTTCAAAGTACGTGATAAGAAACGCTTTAGTGCTGCAGCTAGGCATTTTCACCAGCATTATCTCTTGAAATTATTCCCAGGACCAACCCTGTGACGAAGGGCACTTATTCTCCTTACTTTTCAAATGGGGAGGTTGAAGCAGACAGGTTAAGAGACGTGCTCAGCAATACACAGCCGCTAGGGAGTCAGACCAAAGCCTTTGTGTGTCTCCAGCCCACTGCTGCTTAGCGTCTCTCAAAGGTGGCGTTTCCCAGTTTAACGTTATGTTCATCCACCTGGAAAATGTTCCTTCTATGGTGTTAATCTCACTCTGTTTCTTTAGTGGAGAGAAGCACGGGAGCACATGCCCTTGTCTTCCTGGTGTCTGAGAGTTTAGAACGTGGGAACCTCTCTGTGGCTGGCCCCAGGGCGGGGGGCTTCAGTGACCTCACTGTCCTCCTGGATGTGCAGAAGGCGTCATGGTCCCTCCTGAGCCCTCGGCGCAGGTGGCTGCCCAGTAATGATTCTGCTTCCTTTAAGAGAACAGGTGCTGCGCATCCCCAGAAACTGGGCTCCTGGGCTCCGAGGACAGGGGATGACAGACACATCTTCCTCCTCTTCTTGGAGGAGCTGAGAATGACAGGGGATGCGGCAGCGCCACCAAGAGCGAAACTGCTGTGGGTAGCTGTACACCAAAGAGGTGTGAAAGGATATGACTAGAAGAATCTGTAACCCTTTGGAAGTCTTTTTTGAGGTGGAATTTCACTATGCAGTTCAGGTTGGCCTTGCAGTTACTCTGTAGCCCGGGCTGGCCTTGAACTCACAGTGATCCTCCTGCCTCAGCCTCCCAAGCTGTGGGATTATAGGCATGAGCCACCTTCACCCCTGTTCCTTGGGAGGATTTTGAGAAGGGAGGCTGGCCTGTGTAGCTGTACAGGAGAGGTAGGGATTATGGCCCATAGTGAGGCTGACCTCCCTTCCTAGAGCAAACCTTTTCTCCTGGGCCCACAGCAGACGCTCAGGGAATACCTATGGCATAGTGCATATTTGCCTCCCCCAGACTACCTCTTCTGTAGATTTTTCTTTCACCATGGAGGTTTTCTTTCAGGTGGGTGCCTCACCCTGACTGCGTGTGGCTCGTGGTTGTGGGCTCAGACTTTGGTTTCTTTGCACATTGGTTTTCTCATTTTAAGATGAAAAATTCCTCCTCTTCCTCTTTCATGGATTTTATCAAAATCTTTGACTGCTCAGAGCGTCTTCCTGGTGAGAAGAAACAGGACTGGTGTTCGCTATAGGACTCATCATGGAACGCTGGGAATGGAGTCACACACAGCCCACCTGGGCAGGTACCTGGGTGACCAGGGCTACTCACTGCCCGCAGAGGCTGAGGGACCATGGAGGACCAGTGGATCCGCATCGTGGACCTCTTAATTTGTTCAATTATCGGTCAGTTCATAAGTGCAAATGGAAAAGATGGGTATGCTTTAAAGAGCGAGGAAAAGAACAAGAAAATACGTCCACTCTTACAGTTTTGAAGAATGGAATTAATTATGAATTTTTTTGCTTGGCTTAATTTTTTCTTTGTCTTATTTTAATTGTACACACTTATGTGGGTACAGTGGGATGACACACTATATAATGCCCAAGTCAGGGTATTTAGCATTTCCAGGCTTGGTCTAATTATGACTTGTTTGAACACTTCCACACTACATTCTGTTCGTATGTTTAAGGATTTCTTTTCAGGACAGAAAGTAACAGTAAGAGTAACAGGGAATAAAGAGAGACACAAACAGAAAGCCCCTCAGATGTTTAGCTGTTTGTGTTAGAGTTTACTGAGATATAGAGTTAAAACCAGCAAGAAGCAAATGGTATCTACCAACTACCAAAGTGTACTGCTTGGACCCAGAGACTTAGCCTGGCACCTAGTTTATTTTTTATTTTTTTGGGTACCAGGAATTGAACTCAGGACCTTGTGTTTGCCAGGCAGGTGCTGAGCCACTGAGCTATATCCCTGGCCCTGGCACCTAATTTTAGTCCATTTCTCCATATGCTGAGTACCAGTCTTTCTCTCTGTTCCCAAACACACTAACTGATCATTGTGGATGGAATTCTGTCTTATCTGGCCTCCATCCAAGAGTCTAAACTAGCTTAAGCTTTTCCAGAAATAAAAGCCCACTCGACTCTATAGATCTATGTTGTGCTCTGTTTATGTTTACTCTATGGAGTTCTATTTTTCCTGGGAAAATGATGAAGTCTTACATTTTTGTTCTGTTTTATAATTTATAAAGCACCTTTCATCCATTACCCTCAGCAATCTTACTACTCTGCGAGGGCAGATATTTTTATCCCATATCACGGCTAAGAAACCTGAGCTTCTGATGTTTCCCTGCAGCCTTCTGCCTAGTGCTTGGCTGAGTCACATCAAGTAGCTCTGCACACTGATACTTACAACCAGGCTTTGCTCCTGAAAATGCTGATTACAGAGCTGCAGTAAACCTGCAGCTTAGTCGGGAAATCATAGTAGAGAAATCGGTTATGTTCTCATTTCTGACCATTTGATTCAAGTATAAATTAAAGTCAGTAATACACAAATTTTAAAAAGCAGAAAGATTTATTGAACATTTACCTGTGGTAGGAATTAAAAGTACATGTATTATCTCATTTAATTTTCTTGAGAGTCTAAAGAGAGAGGCGCTCTGGTCACTCCCATTTTTATAGATGACCAAAGAGCTTGTGTGAATTAAGAAAAGCATCGCAGGTTGCACAGGTAGTGAACAGCAGAACTGTCTTTGAACCCATGTCAGTTAGATGCCAGAGCTAGAGGGCCAGGAGGGTCCAGCAATGATTGATTTTACACAATACAGAACAACGAGGATGCATGTTTATCGAATGCTTCCTCTATGCAGACAGAGCGCTGTCTGTTTTACACACAGTTTCTTACTTTTTCCTTATAATAAGTCTATAAAGGAGGAACAATTTTGCTCTGATTTTATAGATGATATAACTTCAACATTTTCCCCAAGTTCACACAGCTGGAAGAGGCCGAGCTGGAACTGAATCCAAACAATAGTCCTCTCAGAGTCTGGGCTCTTGCCTCTAGCTAGCACTTCAGTGTCCTGCTTGTTCTGTTTTGGTAGGTCCTGGGAGGCGTGGGATGGTGTAGGAGGTCAGGGCTCCTTGGGCATGTCAAGGGAGTATTATCAAGTCTCCTTGGAAAGTCTGTTTATAAGTGAACTTTTCCTACAAGGAAAGGATAAATTTTGTTTTGTTTTGAGATGAAGTCTCACTGTGCAGCACTGGCTGGCCTTGTACTTGCTCTGCAGCCCAATCCACACCTGTTCTTCCTGTGGATTCTGTCCAGACCATGCTGTGCATCCTTCTGAATACACTTAACAATTGCCACAGGAAGCTTGAGAAAGTTCTGATAGCAGGAAAAGCAAGTCAAGGTGGTGCTGCCTGGAAGCACAGCTGGCTGAGAAGCAGAAGTGCTGCATGTTAAGTGGACCAGAGGTCGAGGGAGACTTGTGCTGGCGGCAGTGAGCCCTAAAGAGACTGCCCTCTACAATCAGTGTAGGACGCTGGGCTTGGCCTCCAACCAGTCATCCTCGTTTCTTTCAAAATGCTCAGATCACCACTCAGGCTGGCCCAGGGCAAAGAGCCCCTGCCTCTGTCAGCCTGAAAGCACAGAGATGAGTGGCAGCTAAGGAAAATCACCTTAGGTAGCACCTCTGGCAGCAGAGGAGAGAAACCATGAACAAGCAGTGTGATGTGCCTAAGGAATGTACCTTACTTAGCATAAGTGACTCCATCTTGAAAGGACAAATGGGGAGCTACCAGCCAGACTGGGAACACTGCCAAAAGCTGGTGAGTGCCCAGACCAACTCCGGACAGTCCCGGCTCCCTTAGGGCTGAGGGGTGCTCAGACTCATCTTCAGGAAGAGCGTGAGAGGCGCTGCAGAAACGCTGGGATTAGCGTCTGGGAACGTCCTCACCATCTGCCACCAATTAGATGTTGGCCTAGGTCTGTCTTTTTTTTTTTTTTTAATAGAAAAAAGAATGGTCAATAGATGATATTCTGAGAAATAAAACACGAAGTATAAAAGTGAAGCAAGTTAAATTTTGAACAGGTAAGGGTGTATAGGAAATAATGCTGGCTCTTTTGAAATAAATGAAATCTGTCACTCAGTATATACATGTCTGTGTGCTAGGTGTTTTTATTTTAATTCCTGGAAATGATTTTCCATCTCTACAGTATATTTTTCTTTAAAGATCACTTTAATAACCCTTAGATAACTATCTAAATGACAGATGTAGGCGTAAAGTTTTGTTTTCATTTTCATTCTCTTTCTCTCTGAAAGAAGGAAAAACATTTTTTGTTGTTCTTTAATATTGTGACTTTTGATTTTGATTATACAGTTATCTAAGACCCAGCAGATAGAATTTAAGCTTTCATTTTCTTGTGTATGTATGTGTGTGAGTGTTTTTTTTTTTTTTTTGAAACAAGGTCTCACTATATAGTTCAGGCTGGCGTTGAGCTTACTATGTAGCCCAAACTGGCCTTAAACTCCCATCGCTCCTCCTGCCTCAGCTTCATGAGTGCTGGGATTACAGGCATGCACCACCACCCTTGGGTGGAAGCTTAAACTGTCACAGAACAAACTAAAAGTATAAACTAATATATATTCATTTCTGTCAGCCTCGGAGATTCATATTTTTGTAGCTGGAAGGGTATTACTGGTTCTTATTTTAAAGGAATATATTTTAAATCTTCAGCCATACTTTCAGTTTCATTTCACTTTTTTCCCTGTCAAATCCAAGTCAAATTAAATGGGATATTTTTAAAGAAATATATATTTTTTTATTTTAAAGAGTAAAAGAAGGATAACATAATAATAGGAGGGGCTTACCAAATTACAGACAAAGTGGTAGGAAATTATCAATGGTTATTGTTTTACATATTGTTATCTATAAGATAGTTTCTCAGGAAAACAAATAGACAAATGATAGTGAGTTACAGACAAAAGAGGTAGGAGATTATCAATAGTTGTTGTACTATACTTAGGTATCTTCAAAGTGGCTTCTAAAGAATATAAATAGAACTATACATGAGTGACCTACTGAATAATCATTCAATAATTCTCAATGGTTGTTGTAGGAAACACATAATAATAAACCTGGATCCATTTATGAAATAGGATAGGAACAATACAAACATTACAGAGTTATGGATAGATTAGTAGGAAAATATCAATGACTGCTGTAATACACGGTGGTATCTTCGAAGTGGTTTCTCAGGAAGACAGAGGTACACAAGAAGGATCTAACAAGTAGTTACAGCCTAAGGGTTGTCAAAAATCAAGTGAGTCGTCTGGGGCAAAAGCCATTTTTTGTAGCGTTTTCTCTCCAGCCTCCCATTGCATTGGGACCCCACAACCAGTTAGTGCCCTCTCCCCAACTGTCAGCACAGGCAGCAGGAATCCTGCTGCAGACTTCTCCAGAGCTCCACCACAGCCTGTACTGTCAGGGGAAGAATGGCTTCCAGTGAGTCTCTGCAGGTATTGTGCAAGGTCCTCCTGGTTCACAGCTTCCGAGCGGCTCTCGTGACCCCAGTCCACTGGACCTCTGACTCCGTGGGCTTAGTCTGCATTCTCATGTTCTCTGAGTCCTTGTTCAGCAGCTGCTCCACCGCTGGCTCTGGACCTTTCCGGTTCTCAATGGCAGAAGCAAGAGTGGCCCGTTGTATGGCATGTATTCCCAGGGGTTGTTCAAAGTTTGAATGATTCACACACATCCGTGGGTGGGCAACTGCAGTCGGTGCATGGTGGGCCAATTGTGTCACTGTTTCTCTGTGTCATGATAGATCTCAACTGAGTGGCGGTGGCCGGCCTAAGGGCCGGGGCGCAACAGCGCTCGCCGCCGCATGGCTCCCCATGCACTGGGGGCCCTCCCTCCGGGGGCCTATGAGGCAGAAAGCTAGCCAGCCGGAAGACCAGCACTCCCTGCCCGTGGCTCCCTGTGTGCCGGAAGCCCTCCTTCAGGGGGCCTACGAGGCGGGGAGTGAGCCGCCAGTCTGAAGACCGGCGCTCCCTGCCCGAGGCTCCCTGTGTGCTGGGGGCCCTCCCTCCGGGAGCCTATGAGGCAGGAAGCTAGCCAGCCAGAAGACCAGCGTTCCCTGCCCGAGGCTCCCCGTGCGCTGGGAGCCCTCCCTCCAGGAGCCTACAAGGCCTTTTAAAGAAATATTGACAGAATTTATCTATGGGTGGTAGAATTGGGATGACTTGAATATACTTGTGTATATATAATATATATATATTATATATATATATATAAAATGACCTAATCTTTCTCCCAATAAATGTACTGCTTTTATAATCTTAAAAACCCATGTAAATTAAAAAGAAAAACTATTTTACTAAACTACCTTGCCAGGAAGTCCTTCTTAATCCTCCCACCTACCATTAATTTTGCTCCCTAATGCTTGCAAACTCATGTTTTAAAGAAGCCCATCCTTTCTGTGATAGCTGGCATAGCTTTGTGTAGGCTGTTCCTACCTAC